TAACTGGGGGTTTGAATGTGCTGCCACTTTTCTGTTGAGCTGTTTTTTAAATTTAAATTCATTTTGTGGGATATTTTAAACTTCTTCCTGTATTATCTGCTTAAATTAAGAACACTATGTAGAAATGACTCTGACCTTTCTCCTTGTTCAATTTTTTTTTTTTTTGTATGAGGGATCGAACTCGGGACCTTGTGCTTGCGAGGCAGGTGGCGGAACCACTGAGCTAAATCCCTGGCCCACCTTGTTCAATTTTTAACAGAATAAATGTGATAAATAGCTGGGCATAGTGGTGCACACCTGTAATCCTAGCACTCCGGGAGGCTGGGGCAGGAGGATCACAAGTTTGAGCCCAGCTTTGACAATTTAGAGACTTAATGAGATCCTATCTCAAAACTCAAAAAGCAAGAAAGAAAAAAGAAAGGAAGGGATGGTGATGTAGCTCAGTGCAAAGGCCCTGGGTTCAAACCCCAATAGCACAAAAAATATAAATAAATAAAATAATAATTTTAAAAACACACCGAACATCACGCAATTAAAAACAAGTCTTTTCAAGGGGTTAATTTTAAACAAAAACTGGAATAATAACAGTAGCAGTTGTAGTCATGATCACAGCTCACGTACATTGCCGCCGGCTCCTGGAAGCAGGCCTTGTTTCTTAGCCCTTCATCAATACAAGCCGGACACTAATGTTGTGCCCATTCTATAGATAGGGAAGCCACAGCGCAGGGCAATGAAGTCACTTGGCGAAGGTGACCGGCAGGGATCTGAAGCCAGAGAGTCCCACTCCGGAGTCCAGGTCCCGAGCCACTGAGCCATGGCCTGGCCTCATGGTGGCGCCACTCTTTCCCTCCGGCCTTGGTCTTCCGAGTAGCTGGGATTGCAGGATGCTCCACTGCCCGACACTCTCCATCTCCCTAGTGCCCCTGAGGGTCCATCCTGGTGAGCAGCCAACTCTCAAGGTTCCTACCACGAGGCTCCACCAAGGCTGTGTGTCTCAGAGTGTGTCCCACACCAAGCTTCAAAGCCACTTCCAGCCCACGTAACCCAAGGGAGTCTCCAAAGGGCCTGGCGGGGTGACAGTTGGCAGTGGAGCTGTGTTTAATGACACTTCATTTTGATTAAACAGAAAAAGCGGCACAAATGCTCAAAAGGCTGTTTACAACCTCCAGCTCTGACCACGGACCAGCATCTAATCCTAATCACAGAAATACGAGTTCCAGCCCGCTCATGGAATGCATTTCAGGCTCACCCTCTCTCCCGCCTTCCCTCCACCCCACCCCGCTCCAGCCAAGAAATCAATTTTCTATGTCACTCGTAATTGCCATAATTAGTGCTGTCTGTATAGAAATACCAGGTCCTTTGTTGCTCCCTGTCCTGAGCTGTGCCATTAAAACAGAGCTTTGACATTGGTGAAGTCTAAACGTCCAAATTTAATAGGGCCACGTTTGTTAAAAATTTCAGCTGAGTCCTGCTTCAGATTTCCATTTACAACCCCTTATATCTGTAAGGATTAGGTTTCGCTCACTATAACAATAAAAAATTATGACTTAAATTAGATCAGAATGTATTATTCTCACATAAAAACATCATCAGAGACCTAGATGTCTGTCTTTCTCTTCTACCGACCTCAGCAGGTGACCTCCATCCTCAAGGTGATATCGTGATTCAAGGTGGCTTCTGCAGATCCAGCCATCTCACCCACATTCTAGGTTGGCAGCCAGAAGAATCTAAGGCACCGAAGGAGCCTTACAGCCTCCTTTTTATAGTCTTTCTTTCAATATGCTATTAAACTTCCTTTTATATTCAGAGACCAAATGTAGTTACATAGTTGTGTGGCTATGCACATAGCTGCAAGGGATCCTGGGGAATGTAATCTTTGGACACTGGCTGTCAATCAGCAGCTTCTGTTGACCTCAGACAGGTATTGTGACTGTCAGCCCTTGAGTAGAGTTCTGGCCACTCAGAACGGTGCTGGGGATCAAGGCATCCCTGAGTCTTCTCCCACCACCCACTGCCCCTGAGGCATCACTTGATCTTGGGGCAGCAGGGACTTACTGGCTTTAGGTAGTGACTTTGGCTCGGCAAACCTGAAGGAGCTGTGCCACTGCGTTACCAGGAGTCTCTCCAAGGTCTGCCTCCGAGGCAGCCCGGCGCCATAGCACCCTGCCACCGAGAACCTGGCCACGCTCCGCCAGCATTCGCCCCACCAGCCCCAGCCAAAGGATTCTCCCCGCTCTGCTCAGAAAGGCGCCAGAGCTGGCTCCTCCCTCTCCCTCTGCCGTGGGCCTCTCCATCCTGTTCTTGCCTTGGAGCCAGTGGGCTATGGACTAAAACCGTGAGCCGAAAGAAACCTCTCCTCCTTTAATCTGCTGGTGTTGGGTATTGAGTCCCAGGGATGAGAAAAATGACTGAGGGGCCAGGGATTTAGCTCAGTGGTTCTGCCACCTGCCTCACAAGCACAAGGTCCCGAGTTTGATCCCCAGTACCAAAAAAAACAAAACTGAGAGCAACGGGAAAGAGTGAGTGTGGGGTGCAGGAGGGGGCAGCAGGGAGGCAGGTCGTCCAGGGCCTTCACCAGGAAGGAGTGCCCTGTGGTCCAGCACAGAATGCAGTGGAGGATTGTTTTTGTTATTTGGGGTTTTTTGATGGTACTGGGGATTGAACCCAGGGACTTCATCCTGAGTTACATCCCCAGCCCAGTTTTTAAATTTATTTTTTCATTAATTTTTTTTTTTTTTTAAGACAAGATCTCGAAAAGTCACCAAATTACCAAGGCTGGGCAATCCTCCTGCCTCAGCCTCCCAGAGTGCTGAGATTACAAGGTGTGAGCCACCAGACCCAGGGCCAGTAGAGCAGTAGTGATACAGCTGATGCTGGTGGTACTTGTCGCTCTTAGGACCTGGCACGTTGAGACTCTGCCCGTCAGTGAGCCCTAGATTTCCTGCTTCGCACGTTTAGATGTTATTTCAGTCAACGATAAGCATGGAGGGCCCCTCGCCTGGTTTCACATCCTGCTTTGGCTGTCTTACAAGTCTTCATAATGATTGCTTTGCACTTGGGCTTTGTAAGAGAGGCTCGGTGGGCCACAGGCACATGCAAGGAGAGGGGAGCGAGTAACACTCAGGCCCCTGTCGCTGGCCGCTCACTGTCCACGGCTTCAGAATTCGGGGTGAGTCCAGAAGTCTCCGGGCAAGTAGCGGGCGGGCGTCTGAGGGAGCAGGAGGAAACAGGGACCCTCTCCCGCCCTGCTACTCACCTGCTCCACCCAGCTGCCCGAACATGGGGACCTGGAGGAAGGGCTGTCACCATCACAGGCGGCCAGGGCTCCTCTCCGCCTCTCATCAGTGAATGACAGTAACAGCACGAGGCACCTCGCATGCAGAGGGGACGTGAACTAAAACCAGCCAGGTGGCTTTGCCCAGCCTCTCTGGCATCCAGTGAGAACAGCACACCTGTGCGTGTCCCGGCTCCGGAATCTGGGCTGGGAAACTTCAGTAGCTGTGCATTGGGTTAAATGCTCTTTTGTTTGTATTTAAAATTGAGATCATACCATGTCATAATGAACAGTAAAAACCCATGCCAATCATTTTTAAAATTTAATATTTCCTTGCTTAGAACAACATTAAGTAGCAAAAAAAAAAAAGCATCATGGCAGCTGAAGACCCAGACTGAAAGAAAGGAGCACAGGTTAGCACCATTAATGGCCTTTTTCTGGTCCCGCTTTTCCAACAGGGCCTCTGCATTTTCCTCTCGTGGTGGCCCCACCAGTTCCGTCCTAAGCGGGTTGGAAAGGAACCAGGGCAGCCTGGAGCAGGGCACAGAGCAGGCTCGGGGTGGGCCTGGTGCCCGGCCAACAGCCCCCTTTTGTGGAAAGGAAGGAGCTGTCATTTGCTCCTCTCGGTTCAGTTAATCAAGCTGCCGGGCAGCATCAGCAGTCACGGCGACTCGGTCACAATATTGTCTTTGGCTCCTGGCCTCACCTTGAAGGTGAAGTTTAGAGGGGGCAGCGGCTGCTGAGCTCGCCTCTCTGGTCCCTCTGGAGGTGCCCGGGCACGAAGAAAGCTCATTTTTCTGCTCTTAAAAGCAATCAGACCCTTTCTCTCTCTTACTTAGTCTTTTATTTTAAGTCTAATTTAGAAAAGGTGAGGGGCATGGCTTATTCCTTTCCTGGTCCCTAGGAAAGGCTGTGAATAGGAATACAGGACCTGGCTAATCTCCAGGAGCCTTATTTATTTGTTTGCTTGTTTGTTTATTTGTTTATTTATTTATATTTTTGAGACAAGGTCTTGCTAGGTAGTTCAGGGTGGCCTTGAACTCATAGCAACCCTCCTGCTTCAGCTTCCCAAGTACTGCAATTTCAGGTGTGCGCCACCATGCCTGGCTGGGAGCCAAATTTATGACCCAGGCACTGAGCCACCGCCAGGGGTCCCAGGGTGGCCAGCACTGTTCCACTGACAGCCATCACACCAGCTCAGCTCTGCCCTAGGCTGATCAGCTTCCAGGGAGCAGGGACTAGGGTCACAGATAGCCTTCCCAGGGTGCCACCCTCCAGCACCTTCCAGTGTCCCTGCCCTATGGGCTGGATGGAAGGACCATGCCCTGGAGGGCCCTGTGGCCCTCAGCAATCAGGAAGGAACAGAGAAGGAACCCAGGGCAGTGGGGGAAGCTGGTCACAGGCCCCAGAGCAGCTGGTAGCAGATGTCATCCTCTGGGTGTCCAAGCGGGGAGGGGCTGGGACGTGGGGAACTTCCTCTTAGGTCAGCAGTCATCACACATGCTAGCTGAGGCTGCGCCCGGGAAAGAGCTGGGCTTCCACACCATGTGCCTGTGAACTTGACCAAGGCTCTACCAATGACCTTGGGTGGCAGCTGCATCCCTGCTGAGCCTCAGTTTCCCTCTCTGTAAATTGGGGTTGGAGGAGATCATTTAGTCTCTTGGCCCATTGTCCCCACCTCGGGGCTAGGGCCTGAGTCCGTCCGACTTGCTCACTCTGTTCCCAGGTTACAGGTTCCCGGCATGGAGCAGGCATTCAGCTGACATCAAATTTCACCGATTGGCCAGGTGATGAACGGGCTACGGAAGTGCAGAAGTCCTGTTTTCTGCCCCTGGGGGTTCGCATCTCGGCCCATCTGGGAGAACTGCAGGTCAGGAGGCTGCCACTGACATCTGAGGAGCCTTTGGCAGAGCCCTCAGCCTTTCCCAGGGGTGGGAATGTGAGGACACTTCTTCCAGCCAGTTTTTGTGTGTGTGGCACTGGGGACTGAACCCAGGGTCTTCACAGTGATCTGTATTCCCGGCCCTTGCGTAGTTTTTTATTTTGAGGCAGAGTCTTGCTAAGTTGCCCAGGCTGGGCTTGAACTTGCAGTCATCCTGCCTCAGCCTCTCAGAGTGCTGGGACCACAGGTGCACACCACAATGTCTGGCTTCTTTTAGCCAACTACAAACAGGCGGTAAAGGTATGTGAAATACAGAGCCTGTAGAGCAAGCAGGGCAAGCAGATAACTGGAGAGATCGTGAGCTCAGAGTCCCCTGTGGGTCGCAAGTGCTGAGACCAGGACTTGGCTCTTTTAAGCCTCTCACAACCTGTTTCCTCGTCCGTAAAGTGAGGGTGATGTGGCCCAGCTCCCCAGGTGAGCTTTTCTGGGCCCTAGCAGGTATTGGACCATGATGCAGGGCCATAGGTGCTTCCTGGGAGGCAGCCTTGGTCATGTGACCACTGCCTCTGGCTTCAAATTCCGCCTTCATCACGGACACCCCCAGTCAGGCCTCAGTCTTCTCATCTGTGAAGTGGGGACAACACTGGGCTTGTTGTAGGGATTAAGTGGGACTCCAAGCCTTACTCCTGCCCCACCTCAGGTCCCTGGCATCCCTGGCCATGGGGCACGGGAAGCGGGGTAGGGGACTCGGTCCTTCTGCAGGTCGGGGAGGGACAGGTCCCTCTGACTCCCTTGCTGGTGGTGAGAGCAGCCCTGCAGGTCCCTGTGCTCACAGATCACCCCCTCAGGGCGAGGCGCTGCCTCACACGGACCCTGCGCCTGTGGCTGGGTGTTCCTGGGGACCAGCAGCCTGGGCTGGGACCCTGGCTTCTGTCGTCCCCACCCTTGCCAGCGGCTTTGTCCTGAGGGTCTGAGCAACCCTGGCTGTGCCCTTGGGAGGACAGCTCCCCATTCAGCTCCCAGTCCCCTTTCCTCTGCAGAGGTGGATTTGGGGTCCAGGGGTGAGGGGGTGTGCAATGTTGGGGGCACTTCCTGTGCCCCAAGGGGAGGGTGACATAGTGAAGGGACCCTTGGGACTGCTGAAACCCTCCATAGCTCCTTGTCCTCCTGTAGAACAACCCAGGGTCTTCCTGCAGTCACAGGGCCATGCAGGACCTTGCCCCTGGGCCCCCTGAGCCCTCTGTCCTCTCCTGCTCTGCCTCATTTACTCCGCAGGGCTCTGTGCTCCGCCTAGCGCGATTCTCTCTCGAAAGCATCTGGCCACCCCTCTGCCTCCACATCCACTGGGTTTTCTGGGGACAGCCCCGGGAGAGAGCTGGAAGTCACCTCTCCATTAAGCTGCTGTTATTTGGGGCAGCAGCTGAAGTTGCACGCTAAATAATAGCTTTGCAACTATGGCAAGTTGTAAAACAAGGAAGCAGGAGAACACCTGTGTGCCAGACACAACATATCTGTGGGCTGGCACAATTGAGAGACTCTCCTCAGACTTGGAAATCTGCCTGGCAGAGGGGTGAGAAAGAAGCCAGTCTCGGCTGGAGAAGATTAAGGCTACCGGTCCCTCAGTGTCCCCCGGGCCCTGTGGACACCCAGCTCCTCAGATGCTCAAGTCCCCAGGTAAAACGGTGTGGTATTTGCACCTGCAGTATCCTCCCACATGCTTTACACCATCCCTACATCACTTCTCATGGCCCATATAATGTAAATACCGTGTAAATAGTCGTTATACCATATAGCTTAGGGAATAATGTCAAAGGGGTCTGCACATGTTTCAACAGACACAGTTTCTTAAATATTTTCCATCTGTGGTTGGTTGGATGCAGGGATGTGGAAGCCGTGGAAAGGAAGGGCTGACTGTGCAACAGGAATAGTAAAGGAAAGCTAACCGTCTGTTGCAAGAGGTCTAGGACAAGGCAGTGCTACCCCGTGACTGAGCTGGTGGAAACCCCACAGCGTGCTGCAGGGCAGGTCCTCCCAGAGGCCAGCATGCAAGGCTCTAAGACGTTAAGTCCTGGACCAAGACCTCTCCACCCAGGGCCACAGGGACCTCTGCCTGCTGCACCCCAGTTCCGCCCCATGTTAGCGACGAGGCTGGCTGGGGTGAAGGCAGGCACCGGGCCCTGGAGAGAGCGTGGTGCCCCTGGGTGCCGGCGGGTGCCAGGAGAGATGCCCCGCGGGTGGAGAAGCAGAAAGGGCACGCACGCAGGGACTGAGATTCCCTGGCGCCCTCCACCTCCTCTGGAAGAGGGCTCAACAGGGAGGGGTCCCAGGGTGTGTTAGGGGAGTCCCCAGATTCACTGGGGTCCCCTCCCCCCAGGCCCGTCAGCTCCCTGACTTAGGCTGTGTCGTCACGGAGCAGCTCTTCTCCAAAACAAAGCAAGGGGCCTGCTGTGTGCTATGGGGCTGCAAATGAGGGGTCTCTGAGCTGCCGAACTGCAGCCCCACACGGGCTATTTTTACCAGGAGACGGGGAGGAGACACAAGGACAGCCTGAGGCGACCGAAAGACGGCATCATTTCCAGGTTGACTGCAGGGCTGTCTCCTGCACGCTGTCCCCTCCTGAGCCCTGTGAGGGTCTCAAAGATGGAGGCAAAAGTGTGTAGGATCTTCTGTCTCCTGGCTCTGCCACTCACAGCTGTGTGACCTTGGGGGGGTCCTGTGTAACCTCCGTGAGTCTCAACTTCCTCGTCTGTCCAATGGGGCCATGGGGAGGGTCTCTCGCGGGTTTGGGAGGATTCAGTAAGATAATGCAGAGGAGCACCCAGTGTGGATGAGCCGCGCTACAGACCACCACCTTCGTATTCTTTATGGGGTACATCTCTGTGGCTTCCTGTTGCTGTGGGTCTGGAGATGGGAAGTCAGGCGTCCAAGCGTGGTAGACGTTCCTTCTGGAGGCGGAGGGAAGAATCCATTTTCTTGCCTTTTTCAGCTTCAGAGGACCCTGACTTCCTGGCTCAAGGCCCCGCCTTCATCTTCTAAAGCAGCAGCCAAGCCTCTTACTCTCTGTCTGTCTCCTCCTCCTCCTCCCAAGGCCACGGCTCCCTCTCTGGTGTGATCTTCCTGCCACCCTCCTGTAAGGCCCCCTGGGTAACCTAGGACAATCACCCCTTCGAAATCCCGGTTGTCATACAAAGAAACATTTTCACAGATCCCAGGATTAGGAAGTGGACATCTCTGAGCATCTTCCTTTGGCGTCTGTAACTGGCGATGCTGATGTAAAGGCAGGTGCTGGGAAGACATTTTAGGGAGATCATCCGGGTCTTTATATTTTAAGATGCATGCAACAGACACCCAGTTAACAGAGGCTAAAGCAAACTTAAACCTCTCTGTTCCACTCCCAGTCTCTGTCTCTCTCGAGGCTGGGCCACAGTGTCCCTTTCAGCTGACCAGACCTGAGGGACAATCCATCAGGCCAGCCTGATCTCTGCATGGCCAGGCCCACACCGCAGCCTGGCCATAGGAAGGGAGCTGGGGCTGGCACACACTCCCCTCCATGTAGGACACAACCCAGAAATGGGACCCTTTGTCTGCCACAACCCACTGGTGAGAAGAGGGTCCCATGGCCATACCTATTGGCAAAGGATGCTGGGAAATGTGGTGATTCTGGAGGCCACATGGCCACTGTCAATGGGACTTCTGTCACCAAAAAGACAGAAAGAAGATTGATTCGAGGAGACAAATGGCCACCTCTGCCCCAGGAGGATGGAGGAGAGAAGATCGAGTTCTCTACCACAGACATGGGGCTGGTGGAAGTGAACAAGCAGCTGTTCCCAGGGGTGAAAGATACAAAAACCCCGTGCCCCCACAGGTGGCAGCTTCCTGAAATGTAGCTCACCCAAGGTCACAACACACTTGGCTAAAAATCTCCATCTCCCAGGCTACCTTGAGACCATGTGATAGGTGTAGGTGTCCACAGCAGCCTTCGGGGGTAGCTTTTGAGTTCCTGCTGTGAGTCCCCCTTTTGCTCCCATATTCCAGTCATGAGGAGGAGGCAGCAGCAGGGGCCTAGCTCCTTGAGATATCACTGAGCCACCGTGCCATCAGAGAGGTAGACTTCCTTCTGCCTGAGAAAAATGAACCCTTTGTTTAATCCTCTTTGCTTAGCAAATTGGATCCTCCCCAATTTGCATGCATGCTCTCTCCCACAGGGAGCTCTGCTTGTCTGTCCCTCCTGTTGGAACACGGCTCATAGTTTGTCCCACTGTTCCAATGAGAGCCCCTTTGGGGAAGGAGACCATAGAAGGTTGTCAGGGAGCCAATGGCAGTTACAGAAACAAACCAACTTGATCCTTTATTATAAGCCTAGAACAATATTCGTGGCATGTAAGACATTTGGAGAAAACAAACTTCACAAAAGAGAGAGATCAATGTGGATAAGCTGAGTAGTTCACTCTGTAATAAGCAGAAATAATTCTGGGGAGATAAATACAAAATTGTTTTCATTCTGGTTTGTAGCTGCAGCAGGATTTGAGGGACTGTCACATCAACAAAACAAGAACAGATTGCTGTGCAAATGGAGCAGGCAGAGAAGAAGGAACAGCTCTTGACAATGAGAAATGCAATTACATTTGAAAACTTCAGTGAATGGGCTAAAAAATAGATGATGATAAAGTTATTTAAAAGATAGAATTGAAGGATTCTTACTGTACAGTGAATGGATAAAACTGAAAAGTAGAAAAGTTAGGACAGTGAGAATAAATCCAGGAGGTCCAACCTCTGTATAATGAGAATTTCAAAAGAGAAGGGAGAGTTGGGGAAAAGAAATAATCAAAGAAACAAGGGGACTGTTTCTCTGTATATCCTAACTTGAGTCTTCAAATTATAGAGTTCTACTTGGTGCCAATAGCAATGTGATTGTAAGAATACAGAGGCCACTGCACAGGCATTTGGAAATAATAATTTACAAAGTAGCCAACCACAAGAGATTGAAAATCAGACTCACACCAGATTTGTCATTTACTCTGATGCCAGAGGACAATGAAAATACGCCTTCTGTGATCTGAAGATAAAATATCATCAACAAGGATTCCTAAAT